TAAGAAAACTGGAGTGGCCATACTAATATCAGACAAAAGAGACTTCTAGATGTTGCTGGAGATAAAAGAGGTAACTTTTATATTGATAAAAGTGTCAATTCACCAGGACACACACACACACACTTCTAACAACAAGGCACCAGAATACGTGAAGCAAAAATCTGCCAAAATTAGGAGGAGAAGTTAAACAATAATAGTTGCAGAAACCTGCAACTTTCAAACTTAGGTAGAACAAGGAAATATGTCTTGTACAGCAGTATAAATTAATTGTTCTTAACAAACATCTATATAACACTCTAACCAATACAGTGGGGCCTTGACTTATGAGTGTCCCAACTAATGAGTATTTTGAGATACGAGCCGTCTCTCAGCCAATTTTTTGCTTTGAGTTGCAAGCTAAAATTCGGGTTACGAGCCAGCTTCAGATACCCAACGTCACAGTGAACGCCACAACATCAGCCCATCATCACGTGTCTCACTCGTTCACTTTTTGATTTGACATACGAGTAATTTGAGTTACGAGCTCCGTCACGGAATGAATTAAACTTGTAATTCAAGGCCCCACTGTACTAGCAAAATATGTACTCTTCTGAAGTGCACATGGAACATTTTCTAAAGGAACACCAGATGCTAGGCCGTATGGAACAATCCTTCATACTTTTAAAAGATAGAATTAACACAGAGCATTGCTTCAAACCACAATGGAATGAGATTAGAAATCAACTTCAACTTGGGAAACACAGAAAGATGTAAAATTAAGCAACATACTCCTAAATAACCAGTGAGTCAAAGAAGAATTCAGAAGTGAGATTAGGAAATGAATGAGATGAATGAAAATGAAGACATAACACGCAAAAACATGGCTGCAGCTAAAGCAGTGCTTAGCGGGAAATTTTATAACTAAATGTATATTTAAAATGAAGAAAGATCTCAAGTCAATAACTTAATCTACCTTAAAATGCTAGAAAAGGGGCAAACTGAACTTAATGTAAAATTATAAAGGAAATAATAAAGATTAAGAATTGTAAAACAATAGTGGAAATTAATAAAAACAAAAGTTGATTCTAAAAATTGACAACAGTTAGCTAAAAAGGTTTCTTTTTACATTTAAGTTAATTTATTTTTTTAATTAAATCTTTAGTGTTCAGATTATTACAGTTGTTCCTCTTTTTTACCCC